AAAGCCACGACCACGTGTCAGAGCAGGGAAGATGGCCGCAGATCGTGTTTGTCACCCAATGCGGAGTTTGCAAACAGAAGCAAAATTGTGCGAACGCTGCTGTTCGTGAACCGAATTGTTCGGGAACAGAAGCGTTCGTGAACTGAAGTATTACTGTATCTCTGCCAAGGTCATCTTCCTTACTCTCTACGGATGTGTATTTTTTTATTATTAGTTATTGTTATTATTGTTGGTTACCATGGAGTATTGTGCTTTTAACTTTTTACTACATTGTGGAAGTTTTTATTTTATTTTTGTGTGCTGTAAGCTGGAGTGAGTCTAGAAGATTTGTGAGCATACACATTTGACTTAAGCAATAAGATTGCTTATGAATGAATGATTGAATGAAACCTCAGCCTTTTTTTTTTTTTTTAACTTTGGACACCTAGGCAATTTATATTGTTCAATTGTATTCACTTTCAACTCAGTTAGGTCAATAGGGTAGAATGTAGCAAAATAAATAAAATCCTTTTTTAATTTATGAAAGTGAATGGAATTTCCTACGCTTGCAAGATAACTAGAAATCAGAATAAATAATTTACTATTTAGAAGCATTCATATCCCAACCTTCACAAAGAAATTTCATTTTTAACTGAATCAAGTCAAAATGTTATTGAAAGGTCAATGATTTTCACAGCTATTGCTCAAAAGCTACCCAGTGTTATTCTCAACCATGTTGGCTACACTATTATGTACACAAACAAGATCTAAATGTAAAAAGCAAAATAAATGAGCAGAGATTCAGGCTGTCAGTGTGTTGATTTCTGCATCCTGGAAAATGAAGACCTGTAGTTCATTTATTGTTACCCCAAAAATAAACAGAGCATATTTTTTAAAAGAGTCCCCTCCAAAATAAGATTTACTGCAAAATAATAATAACAATAATAGTAGTTATCTCCTAGTCTATTATATATTTAAAATGTATCAATATTTTATTATTACATAAACTGAAGATGGCTTACACTAAAGCCCTTTTTCAAAAACTTAAGCATTACATGCAAATGAACCCCTACAGCCTTTTCCCCATACTCAGTTAATGTGCTACCCTTCCATCCTTGAACTAGCATAAAACAATACTGAAATAAACTTTTCTGCCCTTCCAACAATTGCTATCCTGCCTCTGTAGCCTCTGGCTTACTAGAGAACAGTGCTGTCCCAATCTCAGTGTACAAGGTGTGTTAAGCAAGGTTAAGCTACCTGACTTCACTACCTTACAACTTTCCAGACAACACAAGCCAGTAAGAAACCATCCACTGCTGGGAGTGGCAGCTTTGACAGATGGCATCTAGCTGATCTGGCAAGCTCAATCAGCAAGCTTGCATAGGCAAAGGGGGAATGAATTTTGAAGTATTATACCCCGCTCTATCTGCCTTTGCCTGTTTAAAGCAAAGCTGGGAAATGTGGGCTTTTCCTTGAATATGCCATATCTGCAGAAGCCTTGCAGAGTTCTCAAGGAGTGCTAGATTGATGATCTACGCACTAGTGTGTGTATCTGTCTGTGTGTGCTCTGTGTGTGCGTGTTACTGTATAAAGCAGGATTCTGTCTATTTTCAATCTACCACCTCCTGGAGCTTACCGGCAGCTGATCTGCAGGCTCTAAGAGGTACAGACAGAGGGAAAGCCTGGCCTTTTCAAGCCTGAAGCCTGCCAGACAGCTGGTTCAAGAACTCAGGGAGGTGTCAGGTACCACAAGGGAGCCCAGCTTTAAAAAGCTGGACTTCCAGCTCCCCCAGAGACATAGACAGAGGAAAGTGAGTAGGGACTGCAGTGGAGGGCACATACCCTATACCAGCATGGTGGCCAATAGGTGCCAGGGAGTGCCCACAACCTACAGTCACCTCACTGCAGCACTACTAACAAAGTGTATCAGATTTTGCCTGCCTTGAAACTGGAGCAGGTTTCTGTCAGCTTAAGGGGAAAACAGCACTTCAGCAGCTAAGGACTTTAAAGGGTATCTCAGATAAGGGTTAGGGATGGGATGAAGGCAACACCAAGGAGACATAGTAAGGAGGGGCGGGGAATGTCAGGGCATGTTTGTTTCCTGAGTAAGTGCAACTGGAGAAAGGTCCATAATTAATGAATACAGTTCTGCAGTGCTTTTCATGATGGGTTGGATTGAGAGTGAATTCTACTTAATGGGAACAAAAACTGGAAAGGGTTTCTCTCAGCAGCAATAATTATATTACTGAAAGAAGAGAATCTCTAGAAATGTGACTTATTTCAGACAACTTTGCATGACACATCTGATCTGGCTTGGCCTAAATTTACAGCAGGTAGTATCAGGAGCAGCTATCTAGAACACCCTCTCAGCCATGTTTTTGTTGACTGGCAGGCTATCACTTCCAAGTGTTTTTAGGTTGGGGAGGAAAAAAAACACATTAGAGACAGTATGGAGTTAAGTTTACTTGCTCCTTCATCCCACACATCCAACCTCTCTTCCAGACTTGGCTGTCATGGCAAGACCAGACTAAGGTAAGGGATGGGAAGGAAGTGCTTCCTCCTAAGCTCAAATAGTGGGGTTTCTGGGTTCAGACACAATGCTGAGTACTCCATTGATCTGGTTAACTGTGTTGTGCAAACCAAACAAAAACCAGCCATTTCAAACTTATGTGTGGATCATAATCCATTTTTATCCATCATCTTCAAACACAGTAGGTCAAACACAATAGGCCTATGTGAGGCAGCTGGCTCAAGCAGCAAATGTTGGGAAAATGGTTGCGAAGTGCTGGAGTTCAGGACAGTTATATGTATCTGCCATGCACCCCCTAAACTGAACTGCTGTCTTCTGGTATTATGGAAAGTATTTTCCCTTTGCCAACATTTCACTAAAATATCCAGTTGCTAAAGTGTTATTCTTCAGATGGGAAAGAGATGTTGTTGGAACAACTCTGCTTTGAGGCTGCTCTAAAAGTTGCATCTGTGCCCAGCAAATCAGTAACAACATCTGGGACCTTCAAACCACAGATCTGGATGATATACCAGACCATGGTTAAGGTATGTTAACCAAAATCAAGCTATGGTTTGATCTTGTAGCAAAGTGCTCTGTCTACAATGCAGCTCAGTGCAATGATGAGTGAGCAACCTGCAGCTATATCCCAGCATCCCATTTACGGCTCCAAAACACCTCATATCTGGCTCAGGGAGGAAATACATGACTGGGTATTACCAGCATACCAACTATATTACACCTTGATCTGACAAAGAACCTTGCTCAATGGTTTCATGCAGATGATGAAAAAGGGCCCCTGTGGCACCCTATGAGGCCTTATGGCACCTCATACAAGAATGGCCAGGGGCTTGGCCACTTATCCCTCATTATTTCCAGCTGGAAATGCCCATTCAGGTAGGAGTGGAACCACTACAAAAGAGTGTCCCTCACTCTCAACTCTTGCAGGTGGCTCAGGCCATGGCGGATTATTAATGTAGCTATAGCTGGAATATGCTTCTGAGTGGACATACAGCTATGGGTGAGCAGTAAAATAAACTATGAAGTCATGTTTAAGGAATAATTGTAGATTTTTTTAAAAAATAAAAACATTGCTATTAAAATTTGTCCTGCCATTGCCAATATTGACCTTTATTCCTGGTCAAATAAGGTGGAAGATGCCTTCCAGATGATCAAGTCCAAGCCTCTGATACTATCCAATCCCTGATCTGGATGGGTTTTATAGGAGCAGAAGCATCAGATTGCATACTGCTGAATGCCAGAGTTCCAGCCAGCTGCACAAAATGATTGGCCATCTCTCATATTTCAGACCTGGGAAGAAATGCCTGAGATAAAAGTGGTTTGTGGTGCAGCAGAAAATGGCTTGGAATTCTACTGACCCTCAGAAAAACTATCTCCTCACTTTCCTGATCCAAATCCAAGGTTATATGTAGAAGCCTTATGATCTGCAATTAACTTTTGTTTAAAGAGGAAAAACAGCAAAATAATCCTCATGCCAAGGTTTGCTGTTGTACTGGCATATTTGGAATCCATTGATCCGACAGTCCATTGGTTTACCACAACTTTTTTCCAGGATGCTTTTTGAGTTCCCAACCCAGCCTACAGAACTACGATTTCCTGGTGGCCCCTCATCCATGAACTAACCAGGTCTCAGCCTGTTTAGCTTCTGAGGCTTGCAAGGCCAACTAGAAGCTGTCGAATATTCGACTGTTACCTCCCTGACCTCAATTGCTACAATTCATTAAGTATAAGCCTGCAGCGATTTCCCCGTTTCTGAGCGGCAGGTTGTCACGTGCAGGGACGAGGCACCTAGAGATAAAGCCATGCAGAAACGCCACTCAGTCGAATGGCTGCGAAACAGCTCTCAGTCACGATTTCCCAGAGGGCTCAGGACCGCGTCGCTTCATCACGTCCTCCCGGCTGCGCGACCTCTCCTCCGGCCTTGCCGAGGGCGCTCTAACTTTGGCTGTCTCACTTCCCGCTGGATGCTGACGTCACACAGCCTCCTGGGCGGGGTGTTCCTTCGGCGGTGGCGCGAAGGCAGCGCCGGGGTTGCGGGCCGGGCGCGAGATCGAGCCCCCAGCGCTCGAGCGCCCTTTTTCAGTCAAACGCGCCAACCCCCGCCGCGCTGTTGGTGGGCGAGGCGAGGCGAGGCTTGTCAATCAAGGCGGTGGGTTCTCTCTGCCGCGATTCCACTGCGCGGGGCTGCTTGCCGAAGTCCTCGCGGCGGCCGACGCTGTTCTCCTGCGGCTCCCGGGTCCTCCGCCTGTCTCCCCCAAATCCGAGAGCAGTGCCCCTTCCCCGCCCCCAAGAAAGGTAGGCCCCCCCTCTTCTCGCGCCGTCCCCCTGCGGCTCTGGGAAGTTCCCGGTCCCCCCCGCGCATCCTCCTCCGGGATTCCGGCGCCGGGTTCTCGGGAGGGCTCGCTCCTTCCTCGAAATTACCGCCTCCGCAGAGGTGCCCTTCCTTCTTGCCCGGCGTGGCGGGCCGCGGTTTCTGATTCACCCTGGGGAGGTGGAGGAACGGGGGCGGGGTCGTGCCGTAAAGGAGGAGGTGAGCTAAGAACGGGAACCCGCTGTGGAGGGTATTGGGGTTTCCTGGACTTCCTTTCCTTCCTGCCCTTTCCACCGGCCTGTGTTTTCCCTTTCGGGCGCTTTCGTTTTTAAAAGAATTTCCAAACCCAAACAGAAACAGTGATGCATGCAACTCTCCGATCTTCTCAGTGGAACCAATTACAAGAGAGGCGTCGATGCTTTTCACCAGGCCAACCGTTCCGGGGCATTTCTTTTAAAGCAGGGGCGCAGCCTCCTGCTCCTCCTGTAATTTGGATCCCTGCGTTGAGGCTTCTTCTAATGCTGCTTCTGTGATATCTTTAAAAATAAATAAGTCAATGTATGGAATGCATGCGTGCATGTACATTAAAAATATTAATTTTAAAAGAGAAAAACAGTACACATTTTGAACAGAAAGTAAAGTAATAAGTAAGTGAAAAAAGATGCAAAGAAAGAAAATAAAGAGAAAGAAAAGGTGATAAAGAAGCGGCTTTTTTTAACAGCAGTTACAAGTACATTTATATTTTACACTCTCTAAGGTTACATCATAATTTTCTTCCTTCCATAATCTCATGGAATGCTTGTTAAATATTTTAATGCAAATAGGAATGAATGTCAGATGCTTGTCTGTCAATTCAAAATGTCTTTGTGGAATATTATGGAAAGAGTTCATTCTTAGTGACATGTTTTTGTTGCACCACTGCTGGTAAAATGATTACAACATTGTTTCTCAAACTTTCTGGAATTGTGGAACACTAAATATTTAAAAAATCCAGGGACCCCTCAGTTAAGCAAACATCCCTCTATGATTCCATCTTTAACAATGTGGGAGTTCACTTTTTTTTGTTTTTTGGTGAACAAGCTCATGCATTTGTGAATGCCTTCCTATTCCCTCCCACTTCTGAAGATCGTTTTAAAATAAATTTTAGTGTAGAAGTCCAAGAACAAATAAGAGTGGTGATTGTTCAATAAGTATCTTAGGAAAAGAACAGTTTGATTCAAATATGTGGTTTAAGTATGACTTTTTGTGCATTTATATGAAAAGGGAATTCATTTAAAAGTATGGTATGATATTATGATAGTTTATGAGAAATGATTGAGAGAATTAGTGTAGAATACAAGGGTGCTGAGAGATTCTAAATATGAGATGGACCATTTTTGATAGTACTGTATTAAGAATGGGAAAAGACAGACATGAGAGAAAAGAAAAACTAGAGTGAAAGGAGAATGAGTGGAGAAAGAGAAAGTAAGAATCCAGTATGAAGAAACTTTGGACACTAGAATAATCTTTCAACAGAATGAATGGAAAGCAGGTGTAAGGAAGAGGATGTGGAAGCTGCTTGAAACAGAAATGAAAAGAATCTTATTACTGCATCAGTATTTGGAATTACACATATAGGCTGCTTCAATTGCCAAAGCAACTCTAGGTGACATACAGCAATAATTATAGTTACAAATTATAGCAACAGCAACAAAAATTAACAAGCCATGTCAGGGAGGTAATGCTGCAGTTGTGCAAGTTCTGTAGACTTACTTGGTCTTTAGCCTTCCATCCATTTCCAATAAGCATCCTTCATAAGTCTCAGCTTTTTCGCAAACTGCCTATTCAACTACATTGGCTTCTTCAGATATTGTTTTGTTTTCTTCCTCATTGGTATTATTTGAGACTACACTATCCTTAGTTTTCTTTTCAAGAAGTTCCAGCCAGCTACAACACCTCTGCCTTTACAATTCTGTTCTTGTGGTAACTCCCTTACTATTTTGTTTGGTTTATTCAAATTGGCCTTTTGAAAATCCATGGTTTGTGTTTATTTTTATTATTTTTAATCAAGCTTTTTATTAAAAATCAAGAACTCTTACTTGCACCCAAAGTTCCCACAACTCTAATATCTTCACTAGTACTTACCTGTTAGTATGGGCCAAGTCCAAGTAATAGTTCTTATAGCGCACACCACATCTTTTTGAAATACAACCCAACGCAAATAAAAAATTCATGATTTTTTTGAAGCTTCAGTTATCTGCTTTAATAAATCATCATCTTTTACTTCTGTCTAGTTTGGTGGCCTGCACCAGGTTTCCATTCCTTCTGTTGGCTTGACCTGCTATCTTAATCCATAATATTACTTCTTAGCAACTGTGTTACCATAAATCAATTGTAGCTTTACAAAACTCTGTGAAGTGGTTAAGATGGGAGATTTCAACAATCCATTTGTTGGAAGAGTAATTCTGCCAAACCCAAGATGTTAGATACATTTTTAATTTCTGTTGGAGATAATTTTCTCTTTTAAAAACTTGAGGTGGACGTTGCTAACTTGGAGTTCATCCTAACTAACAGGGAGGAGTTGATTGAAGAATGTTTGAACGTATATAACAATAAGGGAATTTTAACAGTTAAATGCTTTTTCATATGCTTTAATGAGAGAGATTTGAGTGGAATGAGATACCTAAAGTTGTAGAATTGAGAATTAAAATTAAGAACAGAAGTATATTAAGAAATAAGGATAGATGCTTCTGTGGCTACTGTTATAATACTGGTACAAATAAATAATGCTTAAACTTTTTGCCCTTTTTTGAACTTAAGTAAATTGTACTTTTGAAAAACTATTTTTCACATTTTATATATAATGCTTCGTTAAATATGTGATTTAGCAATAACACATTCTTACTCATTTACATTGATGCCAATTTAACTTACTTGTTTTACAGCTGCTTTTTTCAAGATCCTTACAATACTTGGCAGATACACATAATTTAATTCAGTTCTGCCTGTCTTTACATTCCATAGTAATGTTAAGGTGAGAGCATGAAGTGTCTCTAGTTTATAATTCAACAGAGTCTAGAATACATGGTGCTAGTCTGCCTTCTGAATTGAGGATGAAATCAAATGAAAGATACAACAAAATTGTTTACCAATATTTTGCTCTTTTAGTTCTATATCTAGAAGTTTATTTATGGGCAAATCTCTTATTACCCAAATTACATATGGCAAATTCTTTGCCTTATCTAGAATGAAGATTGATGAAACTGACATTTTTTATTCTATTTAACTTTACTCTGCAGGATATTTTGAATACAATTTAATGCTAACGGAACGAAGAACATTTTTCAAACATGTCTAAAATTAATAAAATGAGCATTCTTGGTGTGAGGAGCTTTGGTGTGGAAGATAAAGATAAGCAAGTTATCACTTTCTTTAGTCCTCTAACTATTTTGGTGGGTCCAAATGGTGCTGGAAAAACGGTAAGATTCAAGTAGGCTTAATTTCTTTTTAATTAAACCACTTTCATACCACCCATCCCAATGTTCAGAAGTGGCTTGATTCTGGGAATAAATAAATATATTTTAAAATCTTGCTACCAATATCCCAAAAGAATAATAAATAAATAACGAAGTTTTGAGATTATTTCTTATAGGGGAATGTTGTTGTATTCAGTTTCATATTTACCCTGAAGAGTAGCTCCTTACAAATAAACTCCTTAAACTCTGTTTAACAGTGACATTGAAAGAACAGATTGTATAGGATGCATGTTTTCTTTAAAGAGATACATTAAAAAAAATCTCTGCTCATTTATAGAATGATTGTTTAATTTGCACAAGGACTACCAAGATCCTATCCTTTCCTTTTCCTCCCCACCCCACTGGTTACCTCTTTTTTCTTTTCTTTCTGTTTGCCCAACTTTCTGCTGTCTCATCTCTTGAGCATCTCTCTTTCTCTTCCTTCATTCTCTTAGCTTTGTGGCTGCTTTCTTTTTAAGGTAGTGCCAGTTAACTTTTTACTTATATTTTACTGGTGCAACAGACTACAGTCTCATCACACACATAGTGTATGAGCAGATGACTAATTATAACACTGAATAAGTTTTTAAAATGTGACTGCACAGTGCACATGCAATTCTTAAATAATTTGTGTATTCATTCAAAGATCTGCCTGCTCTACCTTTAGCAGGAGTTTTGAATTTATCCATGGATTTCTAACAGTTCCATAGTGCTTTATTTATATGTGTATTTGTACGTTGACCGTGTGTTTTACATTGGAGAATATGACTGTGGAAAATATTGAGACATTTCTTTCAATACAGGAGGATGCTTTCAAAGAACTAAATTCAAACATTTTCTTGTCTGTTCAACAACATACATGAGTAGTCAGCTTGTCAGATGCATAGCATCTTGCAGTTCTGTGCAAATAAATGTCAGTGTGAATTCCTGCGAATAGAAGTGATAAGCAAAGTTCCACGTTTGTAGTTCTTCTGATAACATCATTATATGAGTAAACAGTTTGCATGATTTCTTAAACATCTGGGAAGGTTGGAGAAAATAATACATGAGGGACTCTACATTGTCTTTTTATCTCCTTATCAAGATACTGTGTATTTGTTCAGTGGCTATTTATGTATTTCTGATGCTTGTTTCCATTTCATTAGACCATCATAGAATGCCTCAAGTATATATGTACTGGAGACTTCCCACCTGGCAGCAAAGGAAATTCATTTGTCCATGATCCAAAAGTAAGTATTGTAGTTGCTAGTTTGTTTGGCTAGTAAATTTCAGTTTGTAAATTAAGTTAGTTAGGAACTTGTATTTTCCTATTTCAAGAAAGTGACAATTGTGATTTCCTATCTTGTGCCTTGAGATGCAATGTCTCTAGTAGAGGAGCATATTGAAGCATAAATGTAAGAAATAGATTAAAATATATGGTCAGAAAATGACTGGATTATAAATATCCATTGGAAAAAGATTGTTTGTTGTTGTTGTTGTTATTATTATTATTATTAAATCTTGTGAATGAAATATATTTTAGTAAGCTATATTCTTGCACAAGGCAGTTTAATAATGATGTTTCGACCAAAAGGATCGCTGGTGCTTACTTTTCAATCTTAGATCTTGCAGATTCGGTTTCACTTGCAAGGTAAAGTCTTTTTTGAGTCAACTCCTGATTGTTTCATGGACACATCCATGCAGTTTTCTTGGCAGTAATTTCTTGGCTGGGTTATTTGTGGGACTGCCTCTCCCTAATTGTTTTTCCCTATCACATTCAGTCTGGCCACAGATGCATGCTGAGAGTCCCATCAGTTAAGGACCCAGAAAGTGGGCCTCTTTTGTCATAGCACCAGGCCTTTGGAACCCCCCCCCTCAAATTACAGTGGCCCCAGCCCTGCCAGCTTTTTGTAAAGTCTTGAACACCCAAATGTGTCCCCAGGGAGGTGACTCAGACTGTCATTTGGAGCCCATGAATTTGTTGATTATGGCAACTTAATTTTACCTCAGTTGCTATTATATATATTGATGTTTTATGCTGTTTGTATTTTGATTTTAAATGCTGTTAGCCGCCCAGAGCTGCTATGGTGAGATGGGCAGCCATACAAATTGAATGAATGAATGAACAAATAAATAATAATAGGGAAATGTTATAGGGAATGAACAAAAATAAATAATAGGGAAACAATGATAGTTTTATCATTGGCCTTTCTTGGGTTGTTTTTTCTACTTAAGATGTTCTTTTTTTTCATCTACAGGATTTAACTGCATTCAGCTAACATTAATGAATTTCTTCTCATACAATAAAAATATGTGCTTCAGCTTCTTGTCCTTGTCCTGCTCCTTAAATTTCCCAAATCTGTTCCAAAGGGTCCCTCAGCTATGGAGTGGAAATGGAGGAAATTCAGTACATCAGCAGCATCCATTATGCAGAAGCCAACTTTTAAATCTCTCTGTCTACTTTTGTTATAATAAACTTGGTGAAAGATGTGACTTAGGGAAGAAACTGTTGAGTTTCCTGGACCTTTTAGTGGTTTTCAGTGCATTACATGAGTGTTCTTCTGGATTAATCAACTGATGAATGCTTTCTTAATTTATTAACATTTGTTAGATATCAGGAGATAATATAGGGAGACTCCTTTTATAGCCCAGGGGAGTTTTCCTTTGCCGGAGGATTTTGTGGTTTTTAATATGAGCATGAAACTGCAAGAGGTTATTGTTATCTCTTGCAGTTTCATGCTCATGTTAAAAACTGCATGTCTTCAATAATGTCAGAGTCACTACTCAGATTAAAAAAGAGAAAGTTCAGTCCAGATCAGACATTGCCTGTGGGGGAATTGCATATTCTGTGCTTTATAAGATCAACTGCCATCATCCCAGAAAAACTGTTTTTGAATCCTAGAAAAAGCAGTACTTCCACTTAAGACAGTTCCTTGCTTTAGCCTTGCTCCCGAATCTTCCCTGATAATAGTGGCCAGGAGTCCTTTATATAAATAATCCTCAGTGTTCACAGTTTTGCCTCCAAAATACATGTCTTGTGTCATTAAACACATACTCTAGTGTGTTTAATGTGTGACTGCCTCTGAAAACAATTCTGAAATTGTCTGAACTGAAATAAATACAGCGGCAGAAATTTGTACAGTCATATAATGTACTGTAGAGAGTAAGGGAGATCTCTTTGACAGAAATACGCAAGAACCCTAGATAAGCAAAGGGGGCTGAAACGTTCTTCTGAAACGTCCTGGGAAATGATATTATTTGGAAGCGATTCAGGCAGGTCCCTCCCAGATTCACTGGTGTTTAAGGAGAAGAGTACTGTTAAAACATAATCAGGCTTGCAAGATTCTGTCATTACAACCTGTCTCGATAAAGTATAGTTCTAATCTTCCTGTGGAGTTGATTTTCTGGTTTGGTCCACGTAGTGGGGCTGACACGTAGACGTCATGTAAAAGATATACATGAATTGTCTTTCTGTTTTCAGACTCTATTTACAGCGCTGGTTTTGCCCTTTAAGTCTTATATAGATTAGGTCCTCTTTATCTGAAGGAAAACTTCATCTGATCACTGAAAGCTCTCTTGTAAGCATTTCTGCCAAATGAGGGATCATAGGTATGTTAAAAGGTATGCAGCTATCTCAGTGGAGGTTGTTATAGAACACTTTCTTCAAGCAAGTTCATTTCATACCTGCCCGTTTCCTTTAATGCAGCATATAAAATCCTTCCTATTTTAGAGAATTTTATTTTTTTCCTTTTTAAAAAGTTATTTAATTTTAGGAAAATACAAAATATAGGTAAAACACTAAAATTGTATGGAACAATCCTTAAACTTAAAAAAGAGAAACCAGGGAAAAAAGAAAACCCCAAACAAACAAACAAAAAAAGAAGTAAAAATCTACCTCATCTAGTAAACATATTGATAGTCACTGGCTTACTAATAAATACCATACAATACTATAGTGTAACCAGATATAAAATTTTATTGTAAAATATCATAAATTCTCTTTGGCAGAGATTTTATTTTAGATAATTTTAAACTTAAAACGAGCATTTGTTTAGTTATTCTGTTGTTTGATTTTATTTCTTTATAGACTTTAATCCCATTTTATTGGTAGGTAGGTAGGTAAATTTTATTGCAGCTTTGACCAGCAAGTGTACATAAACACATAAAGTTCTACATATATCATAAAAAATAACAAGTTAAAACCCCTTTTTTTCCATTGGCGAAGGTTGCCAACGAAACAGATGTCAGAGCTCAAATAAGACTTCAGTTTCATGATGTTAATGGAGAGCTTCTCGCTGTCCAGCGGTCCATGGTATGCACTCAGAAAGGAAAAAAGACAGAATTTAAAACTCTTGAAGGAATCATTACAAGAATAAAGTAAGTGAACAATCATTCTTTATTGGGTATGATTTTAGGGTTCTATCAGTGCAGATGTATAATTGTATGTCTGATAACAAAGTATGTCTGATAGCAAATTTCAAAGTTCTATTTTTACACACCACCAAAGGAATTGTAATCTTGTACAAAGTTGCTATGGCAACCCTTTTTAAATATTTTTATTTTATTTCTACTTTTATTCATACTTCCAGTTCATTTCTATTTCATTAATTTAATTGAGTAAATAACATAACTAATAACATATATTTTTCTTTTGTGATATTGAAAAGAGCTGTATTATCCTTACATGATACAGTGGAACCTCGGTTTACGAACTTAATTCGTTCCGTGACTCTGGTCGCGACCCGAAT